TGATGCCACTGCACTCTACCCAGGGTGACAGCTTGAGGCTCTGTCTCAAAAAAAAAAAAAAAAAATCTTCCCAATTTGGGGATGTCTAAAGATTTTTTAGAATAAAAAATTTATACACTGAACTTCATTAAAGTTATAAACTTCTCATGAAAAGACAAATATAAGAAAATGAAAATGCTTGCCATAGCCTGGTAAGAAATATTTATAATAAATATATACTACAAAGAACTTGTATTTAGAATATACAATAACGCCTACAAATTAGTAATTTAAAAAACAGCAATTTTCTTAAATGACCAAAAGACCTGAACAGACACTTCACAAGGTTTACAAATGGCAGATCTCACATAAAAAAAATGCTCAACATCATTAGTCATCAGGGAAGTGAAAATTTAAGCCACAATAAAATACAATATATATCAACAGAATTGCTAAATTAAAAAACTAAACATTAGAGAGGTTGTGGGGCAAGTAGAACTTTCATACATTGCTGGCAGGAGTGTAAAATAGCATCGTTACTTGGGAAAACTGGGAATTCCATTCCCAGGGTGTACCAAGGTGAGGGGAGAGAATCATATGAGTGGTCTGTTCAGATGAGGTAATAAGGGGGAATAGTTTCTGGAGAGAATTTAAAGGCAATAATAAAATCAACTAAATTAATCTCTGCATTATCTCCATGCACCCCAGTTCTAAACAATGTCAGTGACAGAGTATGTCCATCTGCTGGGGTGGACAATTCTCACCTCACCCATCCTCTTTGATTCTATTTACTTAATGGAAACTAAGAAGCATATCAACAAAAATACATGTACAGGAATGTTCACAGCAGGTGGGTTGGTTGGTTCCTCCTTTTAGACGAACTCTGTCTCACTTTGTTGCCTAGGCTGGAATGCAGAAGCACAGTCAGAGCTCACTGCAGCCTCTAGTTCCTGGACCTACGTGATCATGATCCTCCTGCCTTAGCCTCCAGAGTAGCTGGGACTACAGGCGTGGGGCACACACCTGCCAACCCCACACAGGGATGCTTCAGCCAGATGGTCCTGTCTTGCTGACCAGCAATCTGCCACCATACCAGTTCTGCTGGTCATGCTAGTTTGTATCATTAACACAAGGTCACAGGCTCTGTGATGAAAATTAAATTATTTAATGTATGCAAAAGAATGCAGCAGACGGCTGGTTTAACATGATTTTGCTCCTTGGTTGCTGGGCTGTGTGTTGGGCGTTTCTGCTTTCTGCCACAGAGCTTCACACAAGGCTTCACACAATGCGTGGCATACACAGCACTGAGAGAGGGAAGGAATGAATGTTGGGGGGTGCAGCACCAACCAAGGCCTGGAAGCTTGGTTCCTCCAAACGCCAAGACTCATACAGGAGTTTGGGTAGCTCATGAACAGCAGGACGTACCACGTTCCTCTCTGGCTTTGGTCCAAACCAAATTGCTCCTCTTGTCCTCCATGCCATCTTCTGCCCTGTTGCTTCCCACAGATGTTAGATGTTCTTTCTTCTCCACCTGAGCTGCAAGGTTCACCTAAGATCTGAGCCAAGATGTCCAGGGGGCCCAAGGCAGCCACACAAGACCTGAGGAGTAAGAGAAGTTGGTGGAGGATCTGGACTGTCTTCAACAAGCTGGCCGACTCTCTGCCCTTCACTCTCAGCCCAGGAGCAGAGCCAAAGCTGGACGTTCATCGCAACACTGTGTGTGGTTTGCTGGGCATCATCCAGCCCAGCCTGGACCCAGGACAGTGAGGAAAGATCCAGGGACTTAGTGCCAAGAGATGCCCCAGCAACAAAGGCCTTACTCCTCCCCAATGCCAGTGACGCTTTGCAGGGCCATCGAATTTACTGACACTCGTCCTGGGTATCTTCCCACCTGCTCTCAGGCGGCTCAAGCTCCTAGGCGGCTCCACTCTGTGTCCCTCTGGCCCTCTGCCCAGCCTGCGTGCATGGCCAGGCGGCCGGACCCTGACCTCTCTCCAGGACCTTCCTGGACGGAGCCAGTCACTCAGTAATTGAGGCTGCAGCCAACATAAAAGCGTCAAAGAGCAAGGGCTGCCGTCATTACTCAGCTGCTGTGTGCACGCCAGGCCCTCAGGAGGGGTTTGCAGGATGCAGGATGGAGGAAGAAGCGTGGTGGAGGACCAAGGAGCGCGAAATGGATTCAGAGTGCAGAACCTTGGCGGGGCGGGAGGCGCCGAGTCTTAACGCCTCCTGGCCGGCCACGGTCAGCTCCGAGGAGAGGCCCTGGGACCAGGGACTGTGGAGGTTTCAGCATCTCCAAGGAGGAGGATGCAAAGTGAGGCGGGGGAGATGGGGAATTAGTCCTGCAGCTGCATTTGCCAGGACACAATAAAGCGTGTTCTCAAAGACTTGTTGTGCGGATGCTGGTCAGGGAGCGGGAAGGGATGAGGCTACGAGAGAACCGAGTCCGTGCGTGTCGACTGAATGAATGAGTGAGCGAATGAGTAAGACAGCGAGCGACCGAGGGAACCCGACCCTCCACAGGTCTGCAGCTGCGCGCCCGCCAGGGGTCAGTGCGGCCCCGCGGGCGGGAGGGGGGCGCAGGCGCGGCGGGCGCCGAGGCCCTCCCGCGGGGGGCGGGGGCGGGGGCGGGCAGGGCTGGGGGTGGGGTTAGAGAGAGGGACGCCAGCGGGGTCCAAACTTCCGGTGCCTGCAGCGCTCGGAGCGGCGGCTGCACAGTCTGCACCCGCGGAGGCTGTACGGGCAGGAGCTGCTGGGCTGACGCGCGGGCCGGCGCAGTCATGGTGAAGATCAGTTTCCAGCCCGCCGTGGCCGGCATCAAGGCCGACAAGGCCGATAAGGCTTCGGCGTCGGCTGCGGCCCCGGCCGCAGAGATCCTGCTGACGCCGGCTAGGGTGAGAGGGGTGGGGGGCGAGGCACCGAGGCACGCTCCTCCGGCCCCAGGGACTGCCCCAGGCGCATTAGGGAGCCTTGAGCGGAACCGGGTTGGGAGGTCCCCAATGGGTCATCCACCCCAAAGTGGGGAGGGGGCTTGGGTCCTGTCCTAAACTGGCAGCCGAAAGCAGAAGTCCGAGTGGGAGGGGGTGCATCGCTGGTCCTCAGGTGGGGAAGTGTTCAAGTGCCCCTTCCAGAAGTGGAGGGGACCCTGGGCGCCTGGCTCCAAAATGGGGTCGGGAGGGCCTGGTACGTAGAAGTTCAGGGAATTTGGGGGGGGGGCGGTATGCGTCTGGTTCCAATCAAGGGGGAAAAGCCGTGAGGTGGGGGATGGGAGGAGGCTTAGACGTAGTTTTCCTTAAGTAGGGCGGCGGAGCCTGATTGGCTGGGAAATTTGGGGAGGGGGTGTCTGGTGCCAACAAAGGAGGAGGGGGCATTGATTTTGTCCCAAATGGAGGACTGCGGGGTGGGGGGGTGAAGGATGTGCTATTGGTCTGCTCTGGAATTGGCGGACCAGAAAGTGATGAAATGGAAATTATTCCCTACCGGCTGGCGTCCTCATCCCACCCCTCGCCCTGCCTTCTGGGCCTCCCTACTCCCTCTCCTCCCTCCCGCCAGGCTGCCCCCCTCCCCACGCCGCCGAGAAAGCTCTCCACTGCCCCTGTGCCCTCCGCATCCCGAGTCTCTCCGGGCTCTGCGCGCCCCGCCCCCTCCGACTTCCTCCTCCTATGGCCTGGGGGAGACGAGGCATTTCCGCCGTGGAAAACCTTATGAGCTGCGTGGAGCGTGTCGGGGAAGAACCCGTAGGGACAGGACGCATGGCGGGCAGGGAGAGGAGGTGAGGGAGAGTGGTGCGCGGGCACGGCCCCTGGCGGCCTTGGGTATCACCAATGCCTCCCCCTCCATAGTGGCAGGATTCAGAAAGTCTTTGTCCACTACCTCCGTCTCCAGCTGCAAGGTTCTGTGCCCTCGCCAAGTTCTTTGGCTCAGATTCAGTCTTGCCATGGGAATTAAGGGAGCTACAGAGGATGACCTGGGCCCTGGAAGAGGGGCCTCAGAAAAGAGTGTCAGCCTGAGCTGAGACCCTGGGTGAAGAATGCCAGGAGCCTGGGCAGTTCCCCTACCCTTGTGTGGCGGTCACTGAAGCCACCAACCAGGCCAGTTTGAAGGGTTGGTGTGCACCACCACCAGATTAGTTTCACCTTCACCTGAAGCTTAGGTGGAGGGGGGCCAGCCTTGGATATTTGAAGAAGGTGATCTACAGCTTTAAAAGTTTGCAAGTGATTCTTCAAGCCTTCAATTTACCAAAGGGAAGCTGCCTCCAGTGGGCCTGGGGAGGAGGCAGGGATGAGGGTGGGAGGCCCATTCTTGCTCATTTCTTCTAGCTGTTTCTCCCCAGAGAGATTTGGGAAGGAGGGAGGACCAGGCCAGACAATGGAAGGATGTCATTCTGACTCCATCAGAAGATCCACCAAATTTTGCAGGAGCAGCACATCTCTGGCAGGCTGCAGATGGCATTGGGCAGGGTGGTGGGGCCCAGCATCACCCTTGTGAGTTACTGACGTCCAGCTTCTGGCTTTTAATCAGGCTCAAAGTGAGCGTCTTCTGTTCCCCCTCACCCAGCATGAATGGAAATATCAACATCTTCCTGCGTGCTATTTGTAATGGCCTTGAGCCTGTGGAGTGCCTCCTCCCCTAAGCACTGTTAGTTGGGCTAATTGGCAAGGGCACCACCAAGAGGAAGAATTAAAATCCATACACCTTTATGGGGTGCTGGGAAACTCAGAGCTGCCTGTGGCCCTGAGGTGATGCGAAGACAATGCACATTTTCTGCCTGTCGCCTGCTAGATTTGGAGCCTTGGAAGATAGTATGACTTCTGAGAGCCTCCTGGTACCCTACCTGGCTAGTGGACACATCCCACCCTCAGACCCCTGGGGATTCAGCCTTCCTGAGGGCAGGGGGGAGGCCCAGAGAGCTGCTTTCTCCAGGAGGGGCTTGAGTACTAATGGGGACCCACAGGAAAGCTTATTAGTCCTTTTGTCTCGGAGTTACCCCACAAGCCTCCTTGGTGCCTCAACTGGACTCAAAACATGATTGAAGCAATGACCCCTGGAAGGAGCAGTTGATGCCCAGAGGAGTGTGTGAGTGCTCTGGGGCAGCAGTTGACCTGCAACCTGCATCCAGGCCCAGGGCTGGGGCAGCCTGGACTCCCCATGCCTCTGAGAAGAAACTGAAACACAAGGAGGATTTTGTCCCCAGACCTGAGGCTGGAAGGAAGTGGCGAGGGGCTGGGGGAGGGGGACCCAGCTGAGCCTGCAGCTGCCCAGCCTCCATGTGGTGCTTTGACTCTGCGGTAAAAAGCCTGCACCCATGGGGGCTGGTGCCTGGCCAGCCAGCTTGGGAAGTGGGCTGGGCATGAAACACTCCCCCACCCAACCCAGCTCTGGCTGTACCCCTCTTCTCCTGTGGAGGCCCATTGAAGCCCTTTCTGCTCCTTGGGCGCTGCCTCCCCACACCACCACCCCAACCCCATGCCTGCATGTATGCATACACACATGTATGCGCAGGTGTAGACATGTACAGACTCATGGGCTAGGGGCTGCAGGAGAAGAGAAACAGGTTAAATACAGTCATCTTCTTACCTCTGTAATTTTCTCCTCGACATTTGCCTTTGATTAATGACTATGTTGCTCCCCTCCCCCAACCCGCATACCTGGGGCTCAGATTTCACTTTCCGTGTGTGTCCTGGCCTTGGGCCATCGGCAGAAGGAGCTGGGTCTCCTGGAGGCTTGAGTGTTGAAGGAGGGTCCCCAGCCAATGCCCCGTGCCCATTGGCTAGGAGCACTAGGCCACAGGACCTTAAGAAGCCAGCCTGCTCAGTGGTGCAGTGGGGATTTTCAAGGGCTGCCATCCACTCCTGGCCTGCACAGAGGTCTTCTGTCTGAGCAGGCATCATGGTGGCTTTCCCTCTTCACTCCCTCTTTTCTATTCTCTTCTCTGCACCGTCCTTGCATGTTTCAAGGCTGTGGTGTCAGCAGACTGCCAGCAAGGATGAGTTTCTCTCTGAGAAAAAATTGTTTATGGTAAAATCACAGAAGCACAGCCCTGCTACCCCTTTATCCCCACCCTGCAGCCTCTCCAAGTTCCCTCCCTCGTTGAGACTTCTCTCAGTAAGCCTCTCGCCCTGCCTGAGCCTTTGTTCTCTGGAAATGCCTTGACTGTGAGGATGGAGAGAAAAGAGAATTAACTGGCTACAAGCATCTGCACAGATGCTGCCCATACGCAATCTGGATGGGAGGACAGGGCAGTGGGGGGTCCCTTGACCCTATTGACTTGTGCCCAGATGATTTCTGCACACTGGGCTCTGGGCATAGGTGGACAGTGGGCATTTGTCTACTCTCACCCTTAGCTAGGCTGTATGCCTGTTTTACACACACCCACGTAGGGCCACTCTGGGGCCTAGGAAGGAGGCTGCTGGGGAGCGGGAGTGATGTGGGGAAGGGAAGGGAGACCCCCACACCCCCAGCCTTCTGCCTGGGCCTGTAGGGAGTGCTGTGGGCACCCTCCAAGCAGCCTGCAGTCCACAATCATACTTAATCCCCTGGCAATCCTTTTGGAACTGTTACCAAGGGAGGGGAGCTGGGGAGCTGTCCCCTCAGCCATGAGGGTCTGCCGAGTTAATGCTGCAGTTGGCTGGTTTCCCCTGACCATTTTGGCCCTGGCTTTGCTAAATCATTTAATGAGCACCACTGCAGGCCTCAGGGGCGGTAGGCAGGGGCCCGGGCCCCTGGGCCCCTGGGCCCCTGGATGCCTGGCTCACTCACATGCCTCACACCAATGCACAAGGAGGCACTTTACTCAAAGGACCCTGTTGCCTTGGAAACATGCAATATTTTTCTGCTTTCTAAATAGGACCCCCTCATCCCCCAACTGCCTGGCTGTTAGTAACTACTGGATGAAGAACAGCATTTTTCTGAGTCTCTGGCGTGACAGGTGAAGCAGTTGGGGTGGGGAATCCACTTGGCCAGGGATGCTTCCAGGACTCTGGAGTTTAAGCCTTGCCTTGATTGTGTGGTGTTGGACCCAGTAAGCAAAGGCAAGACTCAGCCACCCCCTTACCCCATGTGGGGCTTTAGGTCAGAAGTGCCTTTGTCTCTAAGCAGGAGTGCCTCTGGTCTCCTCCCAGCAGCCTCTGTACCTGCCTTACCTCCCAGTCCTGCTGCTTATTTGTGAGGCTTCTGGAGTTTGGCCCCACAGGCCAGAAGGGTTTTGGGTGAGTGGCAAGAGTGGCTGAGCCCTGGGTGTGTGCTAGGGGGTGGCAGTAGGGGTAAGTGAGAGAGCCATTGTCAGCCTGGACCATAAGAGAGAGTGTCCACTACCAGTAGAGGTAAAGATGGGGAACCCCAGAATTCACAGTGGGGTCCCTGGCCAGGGCTCCTGCTCTTCTCAGGCATACCTGGCCACCGCTGCCATTCAGTGTGACCACTGAATTCCGCCTCCTCCCTCCCATCCTCTCTGATTTCCTCTCCCTTCTGCCCTCTGTGGGACCTCTGCCTGGGCCCTCCCCCAGTATAGGGAGACATCTGACCCTGCAGCCCAGTGGGAAGGCTGCCATAAACTAGCAGGCCTCACCTTGTCAGTGAATTTGATTTGTGGAGCAGGCCCTTGGGCTCTTCCATGTGGTGGATTGACTCTTTCTGTTTTTTAGCAGTTCTTATAAGCTAGTTTCTTTGTGGTTTTCAGCATGCAGGAGCAAAAGCATGGCCACAGTGCAGGCTCAACAGCTGGCCAGCGTGTTAGCCCTAAAAAGGAAAGGCTTGGCTGATAAAGATCTGCTATTTTTATCTAACACTTTATCCTTTACAAAGGGCTTTCAGCTTCTTTGTCTCTTTTAATCCCAGCAAAACCCCTGTCCTGGAGCATCTGTTCACATTTTATGGGAGACCTGAGGAGGGAGGTTGCAGTGTGCCTGTGGGGGGCCAGTGAGCAGCCCCCTTGAGCCCTAAACTGTCAGGGCCCTGGTGTATGTTATGTCCCAAGGGCAGGGTTCCTGGCTGGTGAGGGCAGCTTGGCCTGTCTGGGGGTAAGCCACCTTTCCTTACCATCCTCCCATGATCACTGGAAGGTCAGAAGGGCCACCGCTTTCCCTGGCTGTCTCATTTGCAGGAGTCCCAGGGTGGCTCATTCCCTGTGAGATGCTGGCGGACCTTGGTTGTGGTATCACTGCCAAGCTGCTCCTGGAAGTACATTGGAAAGTCAAAGTCATGCAGTCCCTCTGGCCATCAGCTGGCCCTGAGGCCTCTGTGGCCCCAGCTGTGTGTGCCACTACCTGATGGTCTTAGTGTCTCCAAGTGCTGAGGAGCTGCCAGCCAAGTGCATGGTCCCCATGATCACAGGACCAAGGTGGGGAGAGGCTCTAGGCCTACAGATAGACCTGGCAGTGAGGGCAATGGTTTGACCTCCCACACCTGCCAGCTGGGCTCCCTGCAGGTCTGACTTAAGTGCAGGGGGACATCCCATGGTGCATATGCTGGGGCCAGCTGGTCTGCCATGAGTGTGCCCAGCCAGGGGAGGATCTTCCTTCAGACCTAATCTGTCCTTTCCCTGGGGCTGGGGTATGGGAACAGTGCCAAACACAGAGGCATCAGGGTAACTTAGAGGCAAACTCTGCCCCCCCCCCAACACCCCCTGAAGGGAGAAAGGAAGCATGCCACAACCTGAGAATGGCTGGCTAGGGAAAAATGGGCAGGTCACTTAGTCTGTCTTCATTTTAGAGATAAGAAAACTAAGGCTCAGAGGAGTATACAGGCAGTTAGTGGCAAAGTCAGAGATGCTCCAGGCTCCTGGGCTAGACCCCTGCTGCCCCTATACTGCCTCAGCTTCTTGCAGTCAAGGAGTGGTCCACGGGGACTGACCTCTCACTTCACCTGGCCATATCTGGCACCATGGAGAGGTTGTGGACACTGTAGGCAGAGATAGGCCTCTGGCTTTTGCAGCATCTCCAAGGGTGAATGAGGGCCTGGGGGAGGCAAGGACAGACAGGTGACAGGGCCCCTGCTGGCTTTTGGGCTGGAGCTCCAGGTAAAGCCATTTTATTGAGTTTTATACCTCAACAACTTCATCTGCCAACATGGCCTGGAGCTGTCTGCCTGGCTTGTTGGCAGCCCTGTTGCTAAGGTCCTGAGCCCAAGTCTGGCACCCAGAGCAGGTTTTTCCCAGGAGTAGCCTGGCCTGGCCTAACCTGGCCTCCCTAACCGCCACGTTTTCTTCTTGGCAGGAGCTCCCTGGCTTGTGGAAGCTTCTAGACTTCACCCTGTACACTCCACTCTTGACAGCCTGCTTGACACTGCTGGCCAGGGCCTGTGTGGGGCCCTTGTGGATCGCAGGCCCAGGGCTGTCTGGCAAGGGACAGCCACCCATGCCCTCTTGCAGCCTCCATGGACTCCCTGCACCTCCCACTGCCCCATCTGTCCCATGTACCCAGCTTTAGAGTGGATCTGTCACTCCCACCCATGTTTGAAAGAACATACAGTGGAATAATGAAAGAGACTGAGAGTGCAGATAATTCAGAATGCACCTGCTTAACCCCAGTGGATCCCGTTAGGTGGCTTCAAGGTGGGTCTCTGTTTCTCTTTAGCTGGGAGGAGACCAGGAGACACTAGTGAGGGCCCCCTCCCCTTCCAGGGTGTCTCCTTCCTTCCCTGCCCTCTGGGGCCCCAACTGATCCCCTGCCTTTGCCCACACACAGGAGGAGCAGCCCCCCTGCCACCGCTCCAAGAAGGGGGGCTCGGTGGGCGGTGTGTGCTACCTGTCGATGGGCATGGTCGTGCTGCTCATGGGCCTTGTGTTCGCCTCGGTCTACATCTACAGATACTTCTTCCTGGCTCAGGTAAGGGGCCGGGCAGGGGCCTCAGAAAAGGGTAGCATTTAGTGAGGAGCAGAGGGAAGTGTATGTATTTTGCAGTGGATGGTGTTATCGGGAAGCCCTGGATGTGCCCTCAGGCAGAAGTGAGTACTCAAAAAAGTTCAGGAGACCAACACCCTCTCTTCTGCCTGGGGCCTCTTTGGGCCCAGGCCAGCCCAACCCTCAGCCCCTTCTGCAGGGTAGCCTTGCATGGATCCAGGTGACAGCCCTAGGGTCCCTCCCACAGTGTTACCCTGAGGAATTAGACCAGAAATTGGAACTCTGTGATCCCCTCCAGACCTTGGACCCTGTGCCTACAGATCATATGTTAAGGCTGACCTAATTCCACCCATGTAGGGACACTTGGTTTACCAAACAAGAAAGGTGAAGAGATGAGTAGATAATCTCAACTGCCTCTTTGAAGGAGCAGGAGGGTGGACTTGAAAAAGTCTTAACTTCTCCCAAGGGTCAAAACTCTGGGTGTCTGGACACAAAGCTGGGCCAACCCAGACATGGGAGGGAGAGTGTCACCAAGTTCTTGGAACCAAAGGTAAATAAACTATAAGTAGCTCAAAGGGACAAATGCAATCTCAGAGTGATAAAAAGTTTGGGACTTTCCGTCATTTATGACCCAAGTGATCTCCACCCCTAAGTATTAAACTTTCTTGTCGCTCAGCTTTTCCATGATGGAAATTGCTGAAGAGTTTGTATTCCTTGGAGCTTTCCCCTTGAAACCCTCACTCCCATGCCTGCTGGCCTCCCCTTTTATTCAGCATCACCCTGATTATCTCCCACCCCCAGCTGTGGTCAGCTTCCCACTTGTTCAAGTCTTGCTCACTCACTTTCCTGTGTAGACCCTGGCCCAGGCCTGCTGCCTGGCCCTCCCTCCCTCATATCCACTCTGGCACCTCTGGGTCTCTTCCCAGCCCTGACACCTGCCCTCCTGGGATTGCTCACCTTACCCAAGTTCCTGGGCACATGAGTACCTCAGAGCAGCCTCTGGGTCTGTGTCCTGGGACACTATGCTGCCACAGTAGGTACCAGCCTTGCAGCTGGCCTCTCTTGGGCCCTTATCCCTGGGCAGCCCTCTGGAGCATTCTCTCAGGAGAGCTCACGCTAAACAGGAGGGAGGTTGTGCGGATCACAGCCCAGCCTGTCCCAAGCACAGATCCACAGGGGCCCCTCGGGGTGTGAGAATGGGCAGAGTGTACCTACTGGAGAGTGATTAGGCTGGCCCAACACATGAGGACAGTGAACACTGTCAAGGTGTCTCAGGCTGGGCATGGAGATGGCTGTGGTGGTGATACCAGAATCTCATGGTGCTGCCTCCAGCTACCTGCCCTACTTGTGCTTTTCAAGTTCTGTAGGCCAAGATGGCAGGCACAAGTCCAGCCCACCCTTCTATTTATGAGAGTGTATCGTACCTTGTCCAAGGCTCAGCTCACTGTAGTCAGCCCCAGGCTTTGACCAGACACCCCAAATTTATCAGTTTCTCCATCTGTGAAGTGGATCTCATAGTCCCCACCCTTCTGCTTCCCCAGGCCTCGGGGCATGAAGTAAGTGAGTGGGAAGGTGGCAGTGCTGAGCGCACTGCCTGATGGGTCTGTCTGTGTGTGTCTCCTCTCTCTCCCTCCTGCTTTGCTCAGCTGGCCCGCGATAACTTCTTCCGCTGTGGTGTGCTCTATGAGGACTCCCTGTCCTCCCAAGTCCGGGCTCAGATGGAACTGGAAGAGGATGTGAAAATCTACCTCGAAGAGAACTATGAGCGCATCAATGTCCCTGTGCCCCAGTTTGGCGGTGGTGACCCTGCAGACATCATCCACGACTTCCAGCGGGTGAGCCGAGGGCTGGGGCTGGTCTGGGAGGGGCCTCGGACCCAGGGCAAGGGGCATCCTTGGGATACGTGCTGCATAACCTAAATTGTATAGAGGTGTCCAGAGTTGGCTTCACCCAGGGACTTGTCATATAGGTGGCACAGTTCTCAGCAGGTGTGAACTGGCTGGTTTTCCCCTTGGCCACTTGCCAGCTGTGGACTCTGCCCGTCATGGTGGGGCACATGTTCCTCGATTCTGTTGACATTTATTGAGGTGTAGCACACCCACCATCAGGTGCACTGAGCATACTGTCTAGTAGATTTCTGCAGAGTATCTAGCACCAGCCAGATCACGATCTGGAACTTTGCTGGAACTCTGGAAGGTTCCCTTATACCCTTCCCCATCAGTAACCAACCCCAACCCATAGGTAGCCACCCCTTACACTTCTGTTCCCAGCAACTGTTTTGAGGCCAGTGAGACACAGGCTTCCAGCTATCTCTGCCCCTCATACATTTCCCAAAAGTTCATAGGGGGTTATAAGTATCAGTTCTTTCTGCATCCTGGATGTCCTCACAGCAGAAACCCACAGAAGGCCTGGGATAGAGCATCTCTTGTTGAGGGCCAGGCTATCCCCAGGGATGGCTTGGACCTTTGGACAAAGTGCACAGTTGGGGCATCACCATGTTCCCCAAACCTCAGCTCTGTAAACCCACAAGAAAGGGCTTTGTAACAGAGTGGCATTGAATAAGAAGTTGGTGTTTCCGTCTGTTATGTGGCACGCCCTACAAGCAGGCTAGGAGAGGAGCAGGAAAGGGAACATCCACCCAGGTGTTCAGGAATCTGGGGTACCTGCTTCTGAAGGTCCAGGGCCTAGGGAAGGCTGACATGATCCCTTTGTCCTCCTCAGGGACTAACTGCCTACCATGACATCTCCCTGGACAAATGCTACGTCATCGAGCTCAATACCACCATCGTGCTGCCCCCACGCAACTTCTGGGAGCTGCTCATGAACGTGAAGGTGATGGTAGAAGGGATAGCTGCACAGTATTTTGTCCCTCCCTGTGGCAGCTGTGCCTGGGGTGCGGAGGTTGCTGCACCAGGCTTCAGGGAGGCAGGGACACTGCTGGCAGAAGGGCCCTGCACCTAGATGGGTCTTGCCTGTGCTATTCCCAGCTTCCATGTCCCCAAAGTTGGCATCTCTCCCTTCCTTCTCCCCACTTTGGAGAGCCCCAGGACCAGCTTCATTCACAATCAAGGCCGTGTCCTGAGTTATGCGTGTATCATATGTAACTCCTAGCACTGTAGTCACAAGCATTGGGCACAAACTGGAGGCGGCCAGGGACATCAGAAGGGCCGGCTGAGGAGTCTGTGAATGAAAAAGGGGGCATCTGTGGGTAGGTATTGCAAGTGAGGGGTTAGAGCAGAGCCCCAGAGGCTGACCTGGTGCTATGGCTGCTCCCTTTGCAGAGAGGCACCTACCTGCCACAGACATACATCATCCAAGAGGAGATGGTGGTCACGGAGCATGTCAGTGACAAGGAGGCCCTGGGCTCCTTCATCTACCACCTGTGCAACGGGAAGGACACCTACCGGCTGCGGCGCCGGACTACCCGGAGGCGTGAGTGGCCAGCTAAGACTGTCTCCCACCCCCACCCGCCGTGGCTGCCCTGGGCTCCAGACCCCCGCCGTGCTCTGGCAGTGCCTAGCCCAGCTGTCAGCGCTTGTCTGGCAGCAGTAGTAGCACCTAGTGTTAGTAGAGCACTTACTGTGTGCTGGGCGCTGCTTTACACTCTCTGTGTCCTTCCAAGAGTATAAGTTACTGTCACTCAGCATCCTCCTCATTCATGCTGCCCCTTTTAAAGATGAGGAAACTGGGCCACAGAGAAGTTAACTAACACCCCTGAGGTCACACAGCAGGGAGATATCTCTGAGGTCTCCCCACTTCACTGTGCTGCTTTGGGTAAATCTGGGTGTCACTTGCTGGGCCGCCGCCTCTCAGTCAGGCTTTGAGGCTGGGGGTCTTATGGCCCAGCCAGTTCAGAGCCAACACAGGCCTCACTGGGATGTTTCTTTCTCCTCTCAGGGATCAACAAGCGTGGGGCCAAGAACTGCAACGCCATCCGCCACTTCGAGAACACCTTCGTGGTGGAGACCCTCATCTGCGGGGTGGTGTGAGGCCCTCCCCGCGTACCCCACCCTTGCCCTCTTCCTTTTTTCTTCTTTCTGGCCACTGTCTGGCCCTCCTCCTTCCCCTTGCTTAGCTTGTACTTTGGACACCTTTCTGTAGATGTGACATGTCTCACCTTTCCTGCCGTGCCAACTCCCTGTACCAGAGCTGTGACCTCTCGCAGCCCCCACCTCTGCTGACCTCCCAGTGTGGGGTTGGAAGGGGCACCCCAAGATGGTTTCTGTGCCCACCACCTGGAAATAGGGTCCTCTGGGGTCCAGGCCCACAGCCGTACTGGCAGCCTGGGGACAGGACTGGATGGATGAGCTGGGTCTGTAATGGCCCTGGCAAGGTGGGAGGGAGGGTTAGGAGGGGCTTCAGAAATACCCGCACAGCGGAGAAAGTCCCAAAAGGCTTTTTCCTTGCACGACACACTTCCTCCACTGTTCCTGTCCTAGGCCTGGGGGTTGGCCTGAGGATGGGGGGAGTGCCAGGGAAGCACACGAGAAAGTGGCCGTCCTGGGGTCTCCCTGGGACTCCTCTGTCAGTGCCTTCAGCCCACCAGCAGGGACCGCGATTTTGGAGGGTGGGGAAGAGTCTGTCAAGCACAATCCTTCTCTGAATGGAACCAAAGAAGCAAGGAGCTGGGGCCCCAGCCCTGGCCCCAGGAGCACAAGCAGGGTCCCCACAACGGAGGCCCAGGCGGCCAGTGCCGCAGAGGAGCAGCGAGTGGAGTTGAGCTGGCAATTCTGTTGAGTAGGTGGGGCTCTTACTTGCTCTGAGCTTTGGAGCTGTGTTAAAAGATGAAATGGAAGGAGAGGGAGAGAGCCACCTGGTACTGGTACACCCTGCCGCCTCTGTTCCGAAATTCTACCCCCTCTGCTTGGGGGGAGTGCAGTGTTTTTCCTTTTCCTTCTCACTTTGCATGTTTTTACTGATGATTTGATATGCTAACTGTTCTCAGTCCTAAGCCTTGAAGAGGGGGGCACTGACCCCTCCTCCACTCAGACTTAGGTGCTCTCTGGAGATGAAACTCTTAAATGCTTTGTATATTTTCTCAATTAGATCTCTTTTCAGAAGTGTCTATAGAACAATAAAAATCTTTTACTTCTGACTTTGACGTGAGCATGTCTTATGGGGCAGGGGAAGGTGAGTGCAGGCTCGGGTACCAGCTGGACTGGAGTGCTCTGGGATAGCAGGCAGGGAGATGGAAGCTCTCGAGGTGAGCTGATTTGGGGGTTCAGCCATGGAGTATAGGATGTCTGCCTCATTTTGTCCTCCCATCCTCCTGACCACTGAGGCAGGTGAGGAGCAAGGAGGGGACTAGAAGAACTTAATAACTACCCCAAGGTTACCCTGCTGTTAAGTGCCCATAAACTGTTAAGTTCTACATGGCAGATGACATCGTGATTGCATGTCCTTGGGCACAAGGACAGTGTGTATTCTCCACAACATCTGAGTAGTTTGTAACCATTCTTGGTGGATCTGCACTGAGTTTTAGCATGGTAGTCACAGGGTCACATTCTCCAAAGAAGTCTGGAAGCAGTGGCAAAGCTGGCCAGAGTCTTGGCTAAGTGGGTCCCAGAAGCAGGCCTGTACCTTGCCCTGGGGATCAGGACAGGTACCTGTAGGCTTGTTGCTGTTCAGTCTTGGTCCCCAGGGAGAGGTATAAAAGACTCGACTTAGGGCAGACACACCTTGTTCTTTGGATCCAAAGGCAATCTTGAAGAGATACTGATTTTTTTTTTTTTTAACATTCACTCACCTAAATGCAATGCAATCACAAACTGCCAACCAGATTTACTTTTTAACTTGACACAAACAATTGTTTGGGAAAAGTAAACATGGAGAATAGCCAGGTAAATCTCCAAAAGGGTCAAGAACAACACTCCTGAAAGTAAGCATTATAAACTACAATAATTAAGGAGTTTAGTATAGCAAAGGAGAGGTACCGACCTGAAGGACCCAGATGGTAACTTTAATTACACAGAAATTTAATATATTAATGATCAGAGCAGCATTTCCACTTAGGAAAGTGAGTTATTTTTAATGGAACAACTGGCTAGCTATTTTGATGAAACATCAATCTAGGTTCTACTTCCCTGTGACAAAATTAATTCTGGGTAGATCATGATGAAATGAATTATAAATTCACTGAATTAATGAAGTGAAACCATAAAAGTACTTGAAGAATGATTTAAAAGATAACTCTGGAGGAGGAAAGACCTTTCTGAGCATGATACCCGCCAAGAATAAGTTGTACTATGAAAACATACCGCTTATATACAGCAAAATCTACCACAAATTCTAAGGTTTTTAAATGACAAGGAGATGTTATTCAAACACAAGGCATAAAAAGGTCTATTTCCTTAATACACAAAGTTCTTAAAAATCATGAAAAATGAACAGCCCAACAGAAAAATGGGCAAGGAACATGAACAAGCAGTTCGCAGTGTGAGAAGCAAGTGGGTGGATGCCTACGTGAGATGTTTAATTATGTCAAAAGAGAAATACAAATCAAAACTGGGGAGATACATTTTTACATGTCAAGTTAGGGTCGGTTGTCTTGGTTTTTTTCTTTCTACATATTCTATATCATTGAAGCATTTATTATATACAAAATGCAATATGTAAGTCATTAGTACATAAGTTGTGAGACTAAATAATCTGGAAACCCACCAGCCAACTTAAAAACCAACTTAAAAAACCAGAGACGGCCAATACCACTGAAATTATTTGAATGCTTTTCTTCCTTTGTTGTTGCATAACAGAACACCCCAAAATATAGTGGCCTACCGCAGCATATGTTATATTTTCTGCTTCTGTGGATTGGCAGAGTTCGTTTGATGCCTGAGCAGCTCCTGCTGGAGTGACTCCTGCTCTGTGCTCAGCTGGGATCCTAGAGCCATAGCTTCCGAGATGCCTTCTCAATCTGCCTCTCTCCACATGACATAATCATCAGGGATCTAGCCTGGCTGTCCTTACAACCAGGCTACTGATCTGCAGAAGAAAAGGATCAGAACCTGCCAGTCCTTTGAGGCCTGGAATCAGAATTACCAGAACATTACTTCATTGCATTTTGTTAAGTCAAAGCAAGTCACAAAACCAGCTCAGATTGATGAGAGGGGAAGACATGTGCATCTAGCTAGACATGGGGAAGGCCGGCATGCTAGGGATTGTTTAGAGAAGGCACCTGTCATCCCAGCCCCTGCCCTCCATCTGTACTTCAATGTCCTGTGAGTGACATAAAACACTCAAATTAGTGCAAAGACACACACCTATTGACAGGACCAAAGACATGTCAGTTTTCAACAAATTAGCCAATTTTATGCTATATTAATTAGCCAGTCCAGATAAATCCTATCCTGAGTTTCTCTACTCTGCTTTAAAATTGTACCACGTTATCTGAGAACCCCTAATGCAGTTACATTTGGGTTTGAACATTCTATAAGTGCTAGTAGGTTGGGTGCCATGGCTCATGCCTGTAATCCTAGCATTCTGGGAGGCCAAGGTAGGTAATCACTTGAGCTTAGGAGTTTGAGACCAGGCTGAGCAAAGTAAGATTCTGTCTCTACCAGAAATAGAAAAATTAGCTGGGCCTAATGTTGGGCACCTGTAGTCCCAGCTACTGGAGAGGCTAAGGCAGAAGAATCACTTGAGCCCAAGAGTTTGAGGTTGATGTGAGCCATGACACCACAGCACTCTATCCAGGGCAAAGAGTGAGACTCTGTCTCAAAAAGTTTTAAAAAAAAAAGTGCTGACAAAATACACGCAGTACTCTCTAATGTGTTTCCCACCTACAAAATCTCATGTTGCTAAGATTCGTTCATGTTGAAGCTTATAGTAGTATTTAATTCATTTTTACTGCTGTGCATTAGTCCATTCTATGAATATACAATTTAATTATCTGTTAAAAAATAATAATGACTATTTGGGTTGCTTTGGATTTTTTACAATTGTAGGGCTTCCATGAATATTTATTTTATGAGGCTCTGGTGCACCTCTCAAAAGGTTTCTCTGTTGCATACACATAGAAGAGGAATCACTGGCTCACACAGTGCGCAAATATTCAATTCACAGAATCCTACCAGACTGTTTTTTTATCAGACGTTGACTCGATTTACACTCCCAGCTGCACTGCATAAGCATTCTACTCATTCCACATCTTTGCCAACCCTTAATATTAATGACCCTTAGGATTTTTTGCCAATAGATTGGGAGTAAAATAGTATTTTGTTATGGTTTTAATTTTATCTCCTGAATTACTAAGAAAGTGGGACAAGTTTTATATGTTTTTTGAACCCTCAAATTTTCCATTCCATAAAATGACTATTCACAGTCTTTGGCCTATTTTTCTATTGGGTGCTTTGGGGATTTTTTGGGTTTTTTGGTTTTTGGGGTTTTTTTGTTTTGTTTTTGTTTTTTGAGACAGAGTTTCACTATGTCACCATTGGTAGAGGGCCGTGGCGTCACAGCTCATAGCAACTTTAAACTCTTGGGCTTAAGCAATTCTCTTGCCTCAGCCTCCTGAGTAGCTGGACTACAGGCACCTGCCACAACACCCAGTTTTTTTAATTTGTAGGCAGTCTTTATATGCTTATATAAGTTTACATTTTGTCATTTGACTGTAAACATCTTACCCAAGTTTATGGCCTGTCTTCTCATTTTCTTTGTGGTCTCTTTAACGAACAGAAGTTACTGAGTTTAATGTAGTCAAATGTACTCATCTTTCTTTAGGGTGAGGGCTTTTTGCGTGTCATTTCAGAAATATTTCCTATCCTAAGGTGGAAGAGACATCATTCTATAGTTTTTATAATCATTTGAAAATTGTGTATTTTACATTAAAATATCTCTCGGAATTTATTTTCTTAGTATGGCGTGAGGTAGGGATAACCATTTATTCTGTTTTATTTTTCTTTCTCCACTGAGCTACAGTATATATATATATATAT